AGTTAAATAACAAATGGATCGTGGAAATTATAACGAAACAGACTAATAAAGATTGATTAAGGTTTTCAATTACTAAACCACCCTTATGCACACACTGCTATAATTACACCACCGATGACATGTATCTAACAGCGATGTCGCTGGTTCGAAGTGAGCAGAGGTAAATAACGATCGTGTCGACGAACCGAGGAGGCTTTTAACCCAGTTTCGAGTATCAATAGATCTCGATAGAGGCGGGCAGAGTAGGGGTGGCGAGTGTACGTACTTCCTAAAATCGACGGGGACAGAGGGAAAAGGAGTGAAAAAAAAAAGAAATCGAAATGACACAGTAAAAGCACCCCCCACCCCCTGCTAATGCTCTTTCACATTAACACTCGACGTAAAGTATGCTCTCTCGGTGCAAGAAGTTTTGATCGATGGAACGATCCGATTGGTCGACGCTGCGCGAGGGTTGCGATCAACCCCCCGAGACACTTCTTCGCTGGGATTCTCGAGGCTCCGGCCGTCCGATTGGTCGGAACCGTAAGCTCCACCCCCTGTGGAAACTTACCCCCGTAACGCCGCCAGTCGACCCTGGTCTCGAGAAGGCGAGGACCGACGCTTCTTCCACGATATCCCTCGAGACGTCTCGCGTTTCAATAAATTCCTATTCAACCTTCTGCTACGCTGCACTCTTGAATCTAAGTAGATTGCCCACCCACCCCTCCCTCGTGATGCTGTTTCCCATCTTCGTGTGCGGGGGCTCGATACGCTAAGCACTGAAATCGTGGAACAATGGTAAACTATACCAGGCCAATGTGTTCTCTTTCAGAAACTTATTGTGTACTTTAAAAAATATTGGAATTTTGTAATCTACCGTTGCACAATGTTGATTAATGGTGCAGAATGCGGATGTTTAGGTAGATTCATATTTTCATGGAGGTAAGCACTACACGGACGTATACTGTTGCTTTTAAGTACGGGAAAATTGCCGAATTTGGACCATCGCTTAGGTTGGATCATTGCTGTAATTAATATCGCAACCCTGCAAGGAAAGTGTCGCAAGTCGAAAACGTGCAACTATTCAGGGGATTTTGTATGACTATTACCAGACACTGTATTTAATTTTATACTTGATTTTCTGTTACTACTGCCAGCGTCATTGTTTCGTCTGTTGTTATTCAAGCACAGGAAATTGGGTCTTTCAGGAAACCAATAGATCAATGGCGGAACATTATTATACTAATAAAATCCAGAACCTAGTTCACGCTTTGATAAAATTGAAAATACTAGGGTGGATGCACCAGTAAATGGACATGTATTAGAAAATGAATAGTGTATATAAAAACGAGTAGATTAAGTTAGTAAAATAAGCAAAAGATTAAATATCGATTTTTCAAAAGAACCAAGCCTAAATCACTGAAACGGCCCAAGAAACACATCAATTAAGTCTCCCACAAACCAACGCGAAATATTCGCAGCGACAGATTTCTTACAGACAAATTTTTGGCGGAATTTTTTCGCATTGATATGAACAGTCTCATAAGACGCCATGCATTTTAAACTGTTGCGAATCTATCGCCGCGAAATGTTCGCTACCGCTGCGAATATATCGCGTTGTTTGTGGGAGCCTTTAACCCTTGAAAAATCCGTTCAACGATCACAATCGATCGAAACCAATTAAAAACAATTCCTCGAAACAACACCCCGCGCAACCCCTCGAACACGCAAGAACCATCAGATTCGAGTCACCCTCTTTGGGGGGAGTCGGAATAATCCAAGTCGCTCTCGGTTACGATCGAAATTGATTTCCGTCTACGACCGTCCGAAAGTATCATCGACTGGCGTCCGTGAAGCTGGACGTAGAAATTGTCCGTGGTTTGAAATTCAACGTCGAGTGAGCGCGCGCCAGTTCGCCGGGGCGGCGGTGGTTGCAGAGGGGTGGACACTGTCGCGCGAGGGGTGAAGCTCGGATACTCCGCCCCTGGCCGGAGAGATCCGCCCTCGGGTTCGAGGGTGCTTGACGAGGGCCGAAACGGCGGCGGAGGTAGGGAACACTAGCCGTCAAGTGCTCGTCGAGGACACTCGAAAAACTACACAAGGAAAGAGAGCCCTTCACAGCCTCTGGTAGAAGAGGACCTATCATCTCTTGGTGTCCCAAGTCCGCGTGTTCCGTGCTCTCGTCTGCGGTGTGAAACGTAAAAACTTTGGACGGATCGTGAACCGAATAAAACGCCTCGCGATCATTGAAAAAAAAAAAAAAATAGTGTCTTCTCGACGAGGGTGAGAGACTGTGTCGTCGCGTGTGCCACTGGGACGATGAACTCTGGGCCAGAAAGACACCTGGATTAGAGGAATGTGTGCGTGTGAACCGTGAACCGAACCGAGTGATAGTGAGGACAGAGAGATAGAGAGGCTGAGTAGAAAGGGGACGCAAAAAGTGGAACGAGTGATTTAGTAAAGAAGGTACGAGAGAGATATAGAGAGACAACAAAAACAAACGAAATAACTCTAAACGAGGGAGAGAGAGAGAGACAGGGGGTAGAACCTGAATAAAAAAAAAGAACGTTCGTGTGAAACGAGTGAAACAAGCACCGAGAGGACAGGTTTCTAAACATGTACTGACGCCACTAGAAACACCTCTCCGAAAAGATAAACCCTTTCAAAATGGCGGACAAGAATAAGATTCTGCCATGGTCGCTGCTATCCTATCCGACCAGTTTCTTGAGTCACGTCTGGTACAGCCAGCTTGCTTACAATAATAGGTAAACGATCTATAAAAAAAAAAAAACGAAAATACACCCACGTGTACCGAGCTTTGTTAATTCACTCCCCCGTGCGTAGTAATTTTTATTGACCACCATCACCCCCGTGTAAACCGGATCGTAGAGTCCTCGCATGCGTTTCCAGTTGGTCACTCTCTCACGGACGAGCACACGAGAAAAAAAAATATCCTGGTAGACGTAGAATTGCGACGGAGAACGGGGATTGTAGATTTTGGAGTATTTTATTTAGTTAACCCTTAGAAGAGCTCTGATTTCGAATGTTCGAAGATATGCTTGTTTTCTTTATTTTTGTAATAGTCGTTATCTACCGATCTTCTATTATTGTATTAGTCATTCTGTTGTGCACCGATAATAGGGTCTACGCTCGTTAGGCCGAAGTCAATTAAACGTTAGAGTTTCACCTTTCTCTATGATTTGTGGTTATCTGAGTGGTGAGTTGTATGAAAGTAATTTGATTGTAATAGGAATTGAAGTGTATTTTCTCGGTTTTGAAAAGAATAATTCAATTGTTATTATTCCGGGGGATTCAAGGGGGGTAGGATTTAATAATGTTGCGATAAAAATTTATCTCACCGTTGGGGGGGAAGCGAAGGTAGAAGTTGTCAGGGGATCTCCCGATAATTCCACCGATAAAAGCTGTCGTTCGGTAATCGTCCGTGGATCTTGGTGGCCCTCGAATTCTTGCACGTGGCTTCCAGAAGAGAGATCTGCCCGAGCTTATCGAGACGTGTTTCCGCTCGATTATCGATATCCTTGACGAGAATTCTGACGCGTGCCGGTCCGTCGATTAAAGTTTTGCTCCGTATGTATTCGATCTTCGAGCAACAACGGAATAACCAGGATGATTTGTAACATTTTGTTGTTTAATTATGCATTAATTTCTGGTGATTTCAATGCCATTTGTTTTATGAGTTGATTGCCGCGAGAAGCACTTCCACCATATCGAAAATGAAATATCTCCGATGATCTTGTTGAATTCTTAGAAAGATCCTTAGGATATATTCCTTTAGGGAAATAATTCTTCAATAATTATGTTTAATTTGGAATATTTTGTTGAGCAAATGTCTCATCCCTTAAGAATTTAGAATATCTAGAATTAAATACGAAAGAAACTAATTAGGCAGGTTGTGAGGTAAGCGTGTAAAACTGAGTCTAAGATATTCTCGGGCCTTTCATTAAAAATTCCCGCCATAGTTTCGCCCAGGTGTTCCGTTTCAGGAGCGAAATTGGACGATTTTGGGGAACTTGTTTAATTAAAGTTTTTGAGCCGCGTGGAACTTGTTTCATTAAACCTTTTATCGTTGAAGAAACCTTAAAACTGCTCTTCCCTAACCAACTAGGCATGTGTAGGATCAGAACTAACACTTTTTCGACAAAGCTTGTCAAATTTAAGAGTCTAGAAGAAAGAAATTTTCTTAATTCTACGGATGAGAAGAAGCTAGAATTAATTTTTCAAGTCGAAAGATCGAGACTTCAAGTTCGTAGCCGTCGTGGAGGACTCTATTAAAGGAGACCCGTAGTCGCCTCGATTAAGGAAAACGCTCTAGCGGGTGGTGCATTCATTGAAACGCAGGAACGTGCCGCGATAATAGGTCGTTTGGCTTAAACCTCGGGCATTTGCCAGGGAGTTCGCTTCTGTGTCCAGGGACAGGTTGTTTGGCAGGAAAACTGCAGGTATCCAGCACGAAACGGTTTTGTCCCTCGGCGGAAAAGACGCGTCTAATCGGGTCTTAAAGGCCCCGGGTTGGCTTCTTGACGCTCCTCTCGCCACTGTCGTCCTCGGTGCGGCACAAACTTTGGTAAATTGGATTGATTCGTTCGGAAGAACCGACCTTTGTCCGCGACTTTTCGACTCGCGGGATCCCCGAACACCTAGACCCACGATTTTTTGGGGGCGAATTTTCTTTTCGTTTCTCCTTCGATAATCGAAAACTGGACGGTTTCCGTCGGCACTGGGCACCGTTTCTGCACGATAGATCAGAAATTTCTTTATATATAGAGTGATTGAAGAAGAACCGAACACAGAGTAATTATTTGGTAATTGATATCACTTCTTGGAGGAGATTCTAATTTATAGAATTATTGGTCCTGAACCGTCTGAACTTGATGTATATCAAAAGTGTTCAGTTCTTGTTGAATTGTCCAGTATTCAGTAGACTGCTCGATAAGTGTCACTTAGCCAGCTAGATCTCTCCGTGACATTTGTTTAATGTTGGTGTTGATGTATTGTTGTAGAATATTGGAGAGCATAAAGATGCCCCGGACGAGCTTCCACATCCATGACATCCTGCAGCTCGATTCGAAACCGTCTCAAGAGGAAACTGAGGTCCAAGGTAATGAAACGTGATTCTTTTTAGGGATTACCCGTTATGATAGACGAGAGATTAGATCGTCTGGAGATTAAAGAGTCTTGTCGGTTTTTGTTCCAGGTAGCACCACAGTTCTACCAAGCACGAACGATGTACCGTCGGCCTATCAGCAATTCTTCGAGCACACGACGGCCATGTTGCAGCCCGCGTTGTACGCGAATCTGAACAGGGGCACCCTGCCGCCGCCGCCACCTGGTCTTCTTGGATGGCCGGCTGGTCCAACGTTACCCACCACCCTGCCCCAGCCCTTGGACGAAGTGAATGGTGAGTGATAAACTCTCTCTGATACCATTAGAACCGAGAAGATCAAAGAAAATTTCAAGAAAACTCCCCTCTTAGTGGCACTTACTTCTTGAAACGATCAGGGGGTTGCTTTTGCGATTCTACTTTGGTAAAGTAGAATTCGTTTCTACATTAATCACAATACATAAGGATTGAAATATTTAAGTAGTTTTGTAATTACGTCACGCAGTGTATGAAAATGTGTCCCTTTCTCAACTCACTCTTCGTAAAGTTCCTTGCACTCTTGGGTTGGTAATAGTTAGGTCTACCAGTCTAGATGCATGAGAATTTGAGAAATTATAGTTTAAAGTACAGATAGATTAAACATGTTAAGCAGGAGTAATAAGGGAGTTAAAGTTTCGATGGAATAAACGTCAAGCCTCTTGACCCACTTAATCTTTCAACGCCCAGTGTTCTACCGGTTCAACACTCATTTTAAAAGTGCATCGAAGTCAGCAAGGGCCCGTAATTTCACCGATAGTAAAGTAGATTTCAGCGTTTTTCATTGGAAAATTCAAGTATTCCCTCAAAAAATGAATAAAAAACATAGGTCAGTTTAATATTGATATTTTCGACTTCAAAATAACAATATACAACATACATATCAGTTAATACGATTTAAAGGTGTGGGCGTTAAAGGGTTAAGCTTTCGATGCAGCAGATTGCAGATTCTACCTTGAAACTTTCGTACATTGCCTAATTGTCTATTGATCTACACTTCTGGAACACAGAGAAGAATCGATATCGAAAGCATTGCTGTCCAATAGCTACAGCCCTTCCTATAATTCCGCCAAGAAGCTATCGTTTCATCCCCTTAGTACGGCGAATTTTACCGGAAGTGATCTTTCTTCTCGGAGAGAAAAAACTGTCCTCTCATCGCGGTCGCAAGCACGCGATCACCTCGGATGGATCCGTCGATGGAAAGAGGGGGAACAGATCTCGAAACCCTTATTTATTTAACACCCTACAATTGGTCCGCGCCGACTAAGCAGGATCTAATGGTCCTATAAAAGGTCCTTGTGGCTCCTGCACGCCGATTGGCCCGTACACGAGGACAGATGTCCTTTCGAGGACAGATGCGTGTCGGGCCTGTGTAGGCCCTCGATGAATCGGGGAAAATCGTCACGCCCAAAAAATCCACCGGTAGCCTATCGCGCCTCTTTTCACCGTTTGTACCTTATCTTCTCTCTTTTCACATCTCTCTTCCCCGTGCCCCCTCCCCTATCGTTCAGAATTGCTCGTGACAACTCTGAATCGGAGGGATAGATCCTCAACCCATTTACCGCGTGAAAAAAAGGGTGGGTCCGTGGATTGTAACGCGGTCGCTGGATCCGCACAGGTAGCGAATTCGTTCCGATTTTCGAGGATATCCTCCGTGGGATTACCCCAATCGATCTTTTGTGTAAGGCTTTTCTTGCGTGGAACATCGTTTAACCCCCTCCTTTCGGGCCAGAAACTTTTGAACGGAATTAAATTTGGTAATTTGACGGATAAGATTGTTATTAATATCGTGTACGTTGAAATAAAATTGTAATTGATCGTCGAAGACAAGGCTTTTGGAAAGACGTTGAAATCACCGTGGATCTAATTGAAATCACGACACTGCGAGCCGGAGCCTAATCTCCCATGAAAATGATACAGTCGGACTGTCCCATGGGGGTTGCGACGGGGTGGTATCAAACAGGCTTTATATTGCTTCACACCCTCCCGTGGTAACCAGCCCTTGGGGAAACGTTCACAATAGCGTACTGTGTGCTCACGAACGACGGGGGAACTCGTGGTTGTACATTAAATTACCGTGTCTGCCGGCCACCGTGGTATTTGCCACTTTAGCGTAAGGCTAATCAAAATATTGGTGGATTAAACGGAACACAATGATCCGAATCCCGTTCGTCCTGTTCCAATCTAATGGAACTTGTATCTCGATTGAAACTTACTCGAAATATCGATTGAATCCTCGTGGAACCTTTAATAACATCTAAATACATTCGTTTAAATTACTCGAGGAGCTGAAGCTAGAAAACGATTCATTACGAAATGCTGGAGGTACAACCTTTAATTACCGTTCCAAGACTGATGACATCATCGCGAACATGACTAGAGCGAACTGCAGCTGTACTTTTTACACACCCTTCGAGTCATAACGCTGATTGCAGGCAGATGCACGCCTATATTGATTTCTTAAGCCTCGCCGGCTCACTCATCGCTGAGAACACGTGTGTATACGATGTTCGAAGCAATTCTGATTCTGAAGATCTTTTAACTCTAACTTAAAAATTCCGGTTATTTGGAACACATCGACTGCCACAGTGAAAAAGGCCGTACGTAGCCAGACAAACTTTATTTTCTTTTTAAAGTAAATGAATCGTTGAAAATGTATGCGTTTTGTTACATAGAGGCTGTTAGTCGTATTTCAAATTATATTGCAATATTAAATATTACGCAAAAATTTAGATACCATGTTTTTCTACGAAGTCAACACTCAAGAAAATCGCGAATTCATCGAATAACCTTTTTTCTTTTGACCCTTCCAGTTCTCCAACAGCCAGACTCGACCAGCCCGACGATCTCGGACCTGTCATTCGCCCCGAAACAAGAGTCGAATCACGAGTGCAAGGAGGAAGAGTCCGGTGATTTCGAGGACGAACAGCAAACGAACGAGAACCAGCCCCACGAGACCGAGCACAAGAAGCGAAAACGGCGTGTCCTGTTCTCGAAAGCGCAGACATTCGAGCTGGAGAGACGATTCCGTCAGCAGCGATACCTGAGCGCGCCGGAGAGGGAGCATCTAGCCTCGATAATCCGGCTGACGCCTACGCAGGTGAAGATCTGGTTCCAGAATCACAGGTACAAGACGAAGAGGGCGGCCACCGAGAGGGTGGAAGCAGGCGGTAGCGGATGTTCACCGAGAAGAGTGGCGGTGCCGTTGCTGATCAAAGACGGGAAGCCCTGCCAATCGAAACTAATGGAGCCTGCGGCGTATCCTAGCGCTGGCCAGGTACCAATGCCACCGTACATGCAGAAACCCTACTGGTGGTAGAAGGGGAGAGTCTTCGAACTCGAGTGAACGTCTCTGTGAACTGGTTGTCGCTGATACTGGGGTTGGCCAGACTAAGGAACATCGAGGATGATCGATTCTTGGTGGACAGAGTGTTGGAAATGATGGTTACGATCTAATTGGTTCGAGGGACAGTTTGTGAATCGAGTGGACATTTTAGGGGATAGTTGTGATCGAGCCTACCATTGGTTTTGGGGTGTCTGGAAGAGGATTAGGTGAAGAACTATGAGAAGAATCACTGCGATTTCATTCTGTGAGTTATAGTATACCGGAAGGATACTTAGTGGAGCCTAGAGGAGAAAGTGAAGGACCTAGCAAGTGATTTGAGAGCAATTGGATTGAGATGACAGATGTGGAAGCTTCGGCGAATACGATCGCAAAAAAACAACGACATTCTGGTATTTCCAGAAGAGGAATTAATATCAGAAAAGCCAGGGATTTTTTAGAGTATCATTAACGGTGTTTTGGAACTTTCAAACGAATCCTAGTGCATCCATTCTTCGTAGTAGGTGACCTAGCTGTCCAGCATGTTGCTAGCGTAGATATCGTTTACCTAGAACTTTGAACCACGATTAAAAGAACCGTGAAAGCAGCAACGATTATTGTGTGCTATTAGATAAACAATTGCCGGGTCGAACTTCTCGATGTTCGATTCGTGGACGACCAATCGTGTGGGAGGTGTCCTAACGGAGGAAGCGACGACGGAACGGAGACTTTTGGAGTGAAGCTTTTCGTTGTGAACTAAACTGTGTCGCTCGAAGGGACTTTTGACAGGTGATCGGATGATAATTCCAAGATGGTGGATCACGTCGAGTGAGAAAGATAGAAACCAAAGATAGCTCGCGATGAATCGCGGGCAAGTGATCTAGCGGAAATAACTAGATAAGTTTAAAGAACGCGATACGTGTAGAATCGTTAGATAAATAATTCACTGTTCACGGTGTTCGAGCCTGGCTCGATCCCGATTTCCTTTCTTTGTACAAAACGATCTTCGTCCCCCCTCCTTGTAGCCGTGAATATTTCGTTGGTGTTGCGTGTGTGTGCCGAGAGACGTCAGGACTTCGTACTTAGCGTAATTCTCCGTGGTAATTCGTTGGAACTGCGAAGAAAAAAAAAAAAGAGACGAATCGGACGAGAAAGAGAAAAAAATATGATGATTGTCCGTCGCTTATGTAACTCGAACACCTCGCTTTCTATCAATCTAATCGCGATAACGAGATAAAACACGATGAAAAATGATTTCTCTCGTAACGTTGTGACGAACCATTTCTTGGAAAATACAAAAATGCGAGTTGACTCGAATTGGAGACGTTTTTTTTTGGGAGGGGGTTACGAAGTGTTTGTAATTTGAATCCATTCGGTCGTGGTAATTTCATTGTAAAATGTTCAACGAAATAGTAGAAGAAAAAAAGATTCTTGTAAAAAAAAAAAAAAATAGACAATGGCCAGTTTTACCAATTAGTTTCCCGTGAAGAGAGGCGATCGTTCTGTTACTCAACGCTTTTCTGTGTTAACTGAAAAGTATGTGGAAGTGTTGCATTGTGTATAGAAAACGAATCGTGTGCAAGTTGAACAGTTGATAAAGAGATCCCAGTTTATCGCCTTTAATTAGATAGGTTGTATATATGTACATTGTGTATAATACATAGTAGTCTAATATATCAGATACATATTTAATAAAATCGAATCCTGAGCGAATAAAACCAAAGGTCTCGTTTCTTTCCCTGATAATTCCATTAAATGAAACTTTTTTTGTATTTCTTTATTGTTTCATGATTCAATTTGAAAATGTCTGAAAGACAGAGTGTGTATGTATTTGTTCTTAAATACGATCAAACAATACACTCGAGACACTGTTCTCCCTATTCCACAGCCCTTCGTTCCTTTTTACTTCTCTCCTCGACCGTTCCATAACGCTTCCCTTTTTCGGGACACGCCGGAAGCCGGTGTAGCTTGAGTGACAAGCTTCCGGTTTCCGTTTCCGAGCAGCCATCTTGTTACCGGTTTAGATTTCCTGAGGGCGTCCTATCCAGCCTTGACAGTCGGGGTGGTACGTTTCGACCACTGTTCGCCGAAGACGATTCAATGATTGTGGGCAAATTTAACCGTTATCCAAATATAAAAGAACCACCAACATAGAAGTACCATTTATATTCACACCAATTCATAGTCGTTATTATTTATAAATATATTTTAATTAAATACAGCCCAAGAATAAAGAAAATATTCTTTCTGGTCTTAATAAATTGATCCCTGAAGAGATTAAGGAAATACAGATACAACAGAATTGAGAAATACAAGAAACCGAATTTTTGGAGCTAAAGTATGGAATTTTAAATAAGTCATACTGAAAAATAGGTTACTCTAAAAGCCTCAAAGGTAGGATTCTATAGATAGGATCAGAGATTGAATAATAGGATTTTGCACTATTCATGTTCACACGTAACTAAGAAAATATAATCGTTGAAGGGGTTTACGCAAGCACCCAGTATCAGAAATTTTTTCTTTCGCCTGATCGAAATTATCGGGCGGCAATCGGATCAGATTGCGCGTTATGTGCCCGTACGTCGTTACCTGGAATTTTTACGCGTCGCGAAAAATATTAATCGATCAACGATTGCGTATTCGTGTTATATCGTCCGATTATCGCCGCCACGGCTGAACCTTGTATTTTGGTGCACGTAACGAAGTCATGAGTTCTCGGGGACACTGGGTCATTAATCAACGAAGAAAAAATTTATTTGTGCGGGAAAATAGAATGACAATATACTACTAAATATTCCTACGTATAAGCTCCCGTTTCTTAATGATATTTACACAATATTTAAAAAATATACAAAATCGATATTTCTTCTTTTTAAATCTATCTTCCTTTTTTTACTTAAGACAACTAGTTGTGGTAAAATCTACTTCTATTATCCAACAATTTAAAGCGTTTGAGCCTTCAGCCTATCGGAATATTTATTTCTGTGGTTAAGTATTTCTCTTTTCTATTGTCGATATTTGGAGTTCTTCCTTATTTTATGTATTGTTATTACACAGCAGGGATTCGAATTGAAAGTTCATATCGGTTTAAAAAAAAAGAAATTTAAGGGAAGAAAGCAATGTCTACCTTATCTATAAGAATTACTTTAGAAAATGTAATTCTGCATAAAAATTCGCGGTTTACAGGATAATATTGTACTCGATTAGCCCTGAGAAACCACACACCGCCTTAACACCACACTACTTCAAATTGGGATTTTCAATTTTCGATGATTAAGAACTAGAACCTAGTAAAAGCAAATAGAACTCACAATATATTTTTCAGAGTAAAATTTTCTCCGAACTTTAATAATAATAATTGTAAAAGTGAGAAATAATTTTATTATCCCAACAGAAGAAAATCGTTATACTGGTCAGACAGAATGTTATAATATTTTTCTGTTGCAAATTCGCACTGGGATAGGTATTTGAGGGTTAAATTCTCCATGTCCCAGGGTAAAATCTCCGAAAAAAATCGAACGGGCCGCGATTGACCAAGGACGATGGCACATATTCGCGCGGGGCAATTCGCTGTCCTATCCGTTATATCTTTCCCTATCCGTTCCATGATCCCTTTTTCGCGGTGGTTATCTACCCCGGGGGGCCGTTTCGTAACGAGTGAGATGACGTAGCGAAGTAAATGGAGTGGACAGCGGGCAGCATATGCTTTGCGCCCTGGGTCCATCTACAAAACGAGACTACCCCACACCCCACGGAGGAATATTCCACGGCGTGGCGGAACCGTCGGTGCGTCGAACCGGAAGCGCGAGATAACATTCACCCGGGCTAGCGGGCCCGTTCCGTGATTTATATGACCGGCCGTAATCTATAGAGAGTTTTCGACCGTAGTCCGTCGACTTTCAGCGAGACGAGACGCCCGAGGAAACGCTTGCGTCGACGGACCTTCCGGCTGGACCGTCGAAAATCGGCCTGAGGTGAAGAACGTCGAGAGGAAGAGGGATATCGATGGTTGACCAAGTTGAGATTGATCGTTATTGGAGATTTTAGTCGGATTGTGCTGAGAATCGACGTTGGTGAAAGAGGCAGTGGACGTTTTGAGGAATTGTTTTGGGAATGATAGTACAGTAAATCTGTGATAAGTGTAATGATGAATTTTTCATGAGGTTTATGAGAGTGATAGAGCTGGGAATTCTGAATGTTGTTGTTCAGAATTATGTCTTAGAATTCTATAAATGTTACCAGATTCTATTCACGTATTACCAGAGATCACGAAGATCTCGTATCCAGCAATCAACCACTCAAACGTTGAGTATTCACGTCCTCCTGAATCTTCGAAAGAATCAATCCAAGGACAACAGTGAAGATATCGCAGAAACGTAAAAAAAAATGCCAGGGGGTTGGTCACCGAGGTCCCAATCAATGAAAGAAAATAAATTGATAGTTTGTCGAACGGCGGGACGTCCCCTAATATTTCCGAATGTAATCGAGGGGGTGTACACACGTACTTCGCGAACTAAGGAAAAACGAGAGGATAGTGGACGGACAACGGCGGCACGGAGAAGATAGAGAGAGGAAAGAAAGGGAGAGAAGAGAGAGAAAAAAAACGAAAAAAGTTCGACAATGCAGTTACGGGTCAAAGAGGGTGAGTGGACGACACCCGTGTTCCGGGGGTGTTTTATTGGCTGGTTTCCGTGGGGTAGAAATTCTCTGTAATGTACGAGATGTTTGCGTGGACTCTTCTTAACCCTCTAGCAGCCCCTTGCATACGTTAGCCGGAGACTGTTTTCGGCTGGTTCACCCTTTATGGAACAGATTCCAAATGAATCTGGAGAATACGTTTCAACCGAATGGGCGAGCCTTGTTTGATCATTATCAAGATTTGCATCTCCTTCTTTGTCCTCTCATTCCACTTCCAAAAATAGTGTTTTCATATAGCACTGATCTAAGGGAATATTGTCGTTCTTGGATTTTTACCCTTTGCACTCCACTGGCTCTGT